AAAGACACTGATTCTTAACCAGGGGTGATTTTGCCCTTCAGGGGATCTGGTACCATCCAGAAACATATCTGGGTGTCATGATTTATAGCGGGGGTCAGAGAATGAAACTGGTATCTCATGAGCAGAAGCCAGGGATGCTGTTAAATATACCAAAATGCACAAGACAGTTCCCATTACTGACATTTGGGCCAGGTAATTCTTTGTTTGGAGGCCTGTTCTATATATGTAGCATTCTTAACAGCATATTCACTGGATGCCAATAGCACAATAACTCAGTTATAACAACCAAAAAAATCTGGACATTGCCAAAAGACTCCTGAGGCAGCAAAATCACACCTAGTTGAGACAGTTTGACCAGCATGAGTAATATTCACAGCTGTTCAACTTGGATTCTTCCCACCACAGCAGAGACCCAGAAAGGATTCCTTTGCAAAGGTCTCTCTTCATGTTTACGACATGATCTTCAATGAGTTTCACTTTTGCTATGTATCAGTGGACAGAGAATCTTGCAGACTAGACACCATACCTCTATATTGAACATTAAATAAGCTGATTTGGAATAAAACGACACAGGCTGGGATTATGGCTCAGCRGTCGAGCACTGGCCTAGCACATGTACAGCCCGGGATTCAATCCTCAGCAGCACATAAAAAATAAATCAATTTAAAAAAAAAAAAAAAAGCAATTGTGTCCAACTAAAAAAGAAAAAAAAAAAAAAACAAAGATCAATCCCCAACCTGCAAAGATACAACTGTAAACATCAGAGTTGCAGAGCACTCTGATTCTAATTCCATAAAGGCAAACCAATAGCAATTATGAATTTTTTTTCTTTGTTTTATTTTGATCTTAGGACCAAGACATAATACTACAAGGAAATAAAACCAAAAAAAAAAAAAAACTTTATAAATCTTACCCTGGTATCTTCACTGATATAACCACACATGACCTTCTCATTCTTGACCCACAGCTCACCAGCTTGTGCCCTGAAAGGAAAGACAAACATAAATTATTACAAGTCTTAAATCAAGAAGAAATAGGGGGCTGGGGATGTGGCTCAGCGGTAGCGCGCTCGCCTGGCATGCGTGCGGCCCGGGTTCGATCCTCAGCACCACATACCAACAAAGATGTTGTGTCCGCCGATAATTAAAAAATAAAATAAAATAAAATAAAGAAGAAATAGGAACTTCAGATAGCTAGCTCTACTCTAATAGTTATACCCAAATGACTTGATTAATTACACACTTACAAAAAGAATTCCATGAACAGATTACTCAACATAAAAAAAATTTCATAGTGCATTGAATACATAAAAACAAGAGCTCTTAATCTGGGAGTTCACAGATAATTTATACTTCTAAGGAAGAGAGAACTCCAGGGAATCCATAACCCTCTGAAATGCAAGATTATCTGGGCAGAATTATCCCGGCACATAAAAAGTTAAAAAGCAGTTGTTTGACAAGATAGTGCACACCTGTAATTCCATCTACTTGGAAGGCTAAAATAGGAGGATTACAAATTTGAGGCCAGTCTTGGCAATTTACCAAGACCCTGTCTCAAAAAATAAGAGAGGATTGGCACAGTGGCACACACCTGTATTCCCAGTGGCTCAGTAGGCTGAGACAAGAAGACCATGATTTCAAAGCCAGCCTCGCAAAGGGGAATTGCTAAGCAATTCAGTGAGACCCTGTCTCTACAAATAAAATACAAAATTGGGCTGGGGATGTGGCTCAGTGGTCTAGTACCTCTGAGTTCAATCACAGTATCCCAAAATAAATAAATTAAATAAATAAGTAAAAGGGGCTGCAAATGTAGCTCAGTGGTAGAGCATCCCAGATACAATTCTCAGTACCACAGACAGTCTGGCAATGTTGAAAAATTTTAATGACAACTTAGTATTACATTTTTCCAGCTTTTTTCCTCTGAAAAAATTTAAGGGCATGTGGGCTGAAGTTGTAGCTCAGTGGTAGAGCACTTGGCTAGCCTGAATGAGGCTCTGCATTCAATCCTCAGCACCACATAAAAATAAATAAATAAAATAAAGATATTGTGTCCATTTATAACTAAAAAAYTAAGGGCATGAAATGGATAATAATAAAAAGAACTGACTAACCTGGGGAGAAACTAATCAAGGAAAGAATCCCAGCTCTAAGTGCTATTTATTAGTTAAATGACCCTGGGGAAACTCTGAGAGGATCAGTGTTCTTATTGTATAAAATGAGCTGTTATGAGAATTAAACCAGATGATGTGGGAAACTTCAGAATAATGCCAGGATAGAAGTGTTCAGTTAAGAGTACTAGGGGCTATTCTTATAAGTAAGAACTACAACAATAGCAAATATTTTAATAAAATGCTATCTTGGAGAGATATCTGAGAACCAGGTAATCATCCCTCAAACAACTACTTAAGCCCTTCTCTTCTACCAATCTCCCTCTTTCTCCCCAGTGTCCTCACCTGCCCAGTTGAAAAATCAATCCTCTTAAGGAAGAAATGGGCCTGGAGATGTAGCTTAATATTAGAACATGCTCTTAACATATGCAAGGTCATGGTTCAAGGTTTGGTTCCCCAGAACAAAAAAAAAAAAAAAAATACATACATGTGTGTGTATGTGTGTTGTATATACATATATATATTACATATATATACATATATTATGTGTATAAATAACACACACATATAACATACGTACATTAATATATGTAAATAAAATAAAAGCCAAGAAAATGCTATGTGCCATGAGTCATAACAGAGACTATCATAACTGAGACTAACCAGGAAAAAGCTAGACACTCTCAACCTCTCTGAGCCTCTGCTGTATCTGTAAAATGAAGAGGATTAGACCAAACCTTTGGTTTTCAAGCATGCTTCTCATGGTCCTAAAAAATATATCTCATAATATGCTATTGCCCAATTATGTCTGAATGGTCAAGTAGAACAAGCCTRACTTGAGAAGGGGCCACTATTTCTTTAATATTACAGGTTGAGCATCCCTAATCCAAAAATCTAAAATATTAAATTATCCAATCCAAAAGTTTTTGAATGCCTACATAATGCCACAGTGGAAAATTCCATTGACCTCACTATGATAAGGGTCAGAGTCAAAAGACAAGCACACTAAAAGCACTGTATAAAATTAGGGTTGCAGATATAGCCMAGTGGTGGAGTATGCACAAGAAGCTGATTTCAATCTCCAGCACCACAAAAAAGTATTTAAAAAAAAAAAAATTAGGGGCTAGGGTTATAGCTTAGTGATAGAGCACTTGCCTCACGCATGTGAGGCACTGAGTTCAATCCTCAGCACCACATAAAAATAAAGAAAGAAAGATATTGTGTTAATCTATAACTAAAAAAAATTTTTTTTAAATAATCTCAAGCTATGTGTAGAAGGTAAACAAGAAACAAATGAATTCTGTTTGCACTGGGGTCCCAACTCCAAGATATCATTATGTGCATGCAAATATTCCAAAATCTGAAAAAATCCAGTTTCTGAAATACTTCTAATGCCAAGCATTTCAAGTGAGAGATACTCAACCTGAACAGGCATGGTAGTGCATGCCTGTAATCCCAGGGTCTTAAGAGGTTTAGGCAAGAGAATCCCAAATTTGAAGTTGGCCTCAGCAACTTAGTAAGACCCTGTTTCAGAATAATAAATAAGAAGGCTGGGCATGTAGCTTAATGGTACAGTGTCCCTGRGTTTAATCCCTAGTACCACATACACACAAAAAGAGATACTCACCCTGTACAGTTTCAATGTTCCCATGTTCTGTGAGTTTCATTAGCAAGAAGCACTCTCCATATAAGCTACCAAACACCACATCAGTGGGGTCTCTAAACAAGCTCATTGTTAATAAACTAACTTACCAACCTCTCCAAGTATGTATATGCAAAGCAGTGTTAAAGAACTGGCTTAGATTCCTGCATTTTCACTTCCTGTTAGGGGTCAAGTCATAGCCCTTTCTGAGACCAGGTTTTTAAAATCAGCAAATGTTAATTAGAATATTGCCCCTTCCCTCTTCTAGAGCTCTCAGGAATATTAAATGGCATACCATTAATGAGAAGAGCTAGTAAATAAACTACAAAATGTTATTATCATTCCTGTGGAAATAGTGATTTTGGGGGGGGGKKKTTKKTTTTKRWKG